TTTGGAATATTAAATCTATCGCGAAAATCTAACTTGAAAATTTTTGCACCGTAACGATCGTATTGATCGGATGATATCAGACTTAAATATTTTTCCCCGCTATTTTCTATCGTCGAAGAGTAACAATTTGCAATTTCACTGTTGCAAATAGAAAGATTCTGTCGTCTAAGATCCATGCATCGAGGAATATTCAATTGGAAAAAGCTAGTGGAATTCTAATTTTAGATTGATTTCAGTATCAAATTTTACAAATTTGATTAAGCTTTCATCATTTTAATCGTTATTTCGAAGAATCAGAAGGGATAATAATACATAAGCCGGAATGGAATAACTTGGGAAATTAATGCACCAGGTGGAAAGCCACGATAGTTTACGACTTGCAGGCCAATTCCATACAGAGTGGATTAAATCTCGTTTATCTCGCTATTAACATCTCTTTGCTTTCCCTTTTCGCCGGATATCTCTCGATTAAAATTCAAACGAGATCGTTTGTCGCGTAACGCTATCATCACTTATCCGTCAAGTTGAATATCATATCATGGAGCAATAATTGGCCCGACATTAATCAAGCCGCGTCTTTATTAATGCGGGACCAGGCGAGACTGGAATTTGCATCATGCATCGAAACGTGTAAGTAGCCGTTTGCCCGGTCCATTCTTGACCAACGCACCAGTCGACGAGTAATAATTTTTGGCAGGTGGACCAAAGAATTTTGGAGACATAATGGCGAGCTACTTCTTCCTTAGGACCCTCATTAGATCGAACGACTGGCGAAAAAACCGATATTAAAGATTTCTCGAGCTGCGTGTTTCGATATTTATCGATCGACATGTATCATTGCTACGAATCGATTACAGGGATAATAATAGGGTTTATAATATTAGTTTATTGTCTCGTACGTTATTTTCAAGAAGATTAGGAGGAATTGTGATTTAACCTCATTTAGATTTCGTTGAATCATCATATTTAACGTAGTTGTTAGAACTTTGTACGGAATTGGATGTCTCAAGTTCAAATTCATCATCAAGACAAGACAAATGATCCGTTTCTCGTAATTAATGCGTTTTATCTCGAAATATGATGCATTGCAATTTTCGCAAAGTGAATTTCTTTCATTTAGTTAGCCTCCCACGTATTCCGGAACCGGCGTTGCTCAACCGCTAATCATACGTCATCTATCATCACGATAATTCGTATCATCGCGTTTTTTTTTTCTCTTTTTTCGCTAATCAAGCCGAGATTCAAAGGGTAATAATCTTTCGGGACGTAGGGCACGCGATACCGTTTCGAGATCATAATCTCCTCTCCCCGTTCTCATTTGCCATTTCCGAGATCACGCAACGTACACCAGTGTACGTGTACGCTACTTTCTTTCTTTCTCTCTTCCTCTCCGTTCCCCTGTTCCTCCTGTCTTTTTTTTTTTCCCTTCTTTTTCACCTCATTCATACCGAGCCGGTAATTCAAACGAATGGAAAGTTTTCAAGCGGGGCGGTCCGGCATCTCCTCCTTGTGTGTTGCGCGCGATCCTGCATCTTTCAATAATGGCGATGCGTTGCCGATTCCACTCTGTTGGATGAAAAAAAGCGGCGCAGACGCGGCGTATCGTCCCGCAACATTTTTATCTCCATCTACATCCGCCGGTGTGCAACTTCATTTCCGCATCAGCGGAGTATCCGTGTCGATGTTTCAATGCTAATGCTTGTTGCCAAAAGGCGGGCGCGTAGCCGGCGCCGCTCTTATCTCAATTGAAAACCGTCAGCCCTCCCCCGATTATTACCTTGGCGAATTTAAACATCCCATTACACTTTCCCTCGCGCCCTATTACGCGCCGGCTGACAGAGGGGGAGGATCTCGCTCGGGACGTTCATTCAAAAATTCTTCTGCCGATTCTTCTTCGATGAATCGTGACCACGGAGGCAACGGGGATACGCAAAAGGATGGGTAATAATTAAATACGCGATTTTTAATCCGATCAACATCATCATATCATTTCCTTCCTATTTATTTATTTATTTATTCATTTTTCTTTTTCTTGTCCCTTTTCTTCTTCGTCAGTGGAAGAAAAAACGAATGATAGTCTCTCGTCTCCTATTCGTTAATTTCATCGATAAGTGAAGCGAAAAAAATAATAATATTTGGTTACTTTGACGGACTCGCGTTGAAGAATCGCGTTGTTAATCGTAGCTTTGATCGATCGAGTGAATGATTGTAATGAAGAAAAATTACCATGGATAGAAAATTAGGGGGGGAAGGGGAATTAGAAAAGGACGAAAATGATTTTTAATCCTTGCACGTTACAATGGATGACTCGGCTAGGATAATTATTATTCACGAGTATTCGGCAATATCGAGGATGCCAGCGCTGTAGCAGACAGGAGAAGAGACGAGGTCTGGTATTGTCACCGTTGCATTCATTGCGGCCAAGTTGGTCGCTCGCCTGATACATAATAGTTGAACCATTGTGTCATTTGATTGCATAATTCCAGTTAGACAACGAGCGACCTGTGTAACGTGCACGCGTACACTACCCGTGTATACTTCGCTACCATCAATTCAACATCAATTCATTACGACTAGATGCCACCTGGATGGGATGTCGCGTTTCAAATTTTGATCGATACCGTTGTAACTTTAATATCCTAACGTATTATAAATCGTTCGTGCGTGACGATCGTGCGGGGAATCTTCCTATTAACGCGAAAAAATATATTTCATCGGTTGGCCAGAGAGAGAGAGAGAGAGAGAGAGAAAGAGAGAGAGAAATTTTTTTTCAACCGTATAAAACAATGAAGAGAAAGCTATCGTTTATTTTTAAAGCGGTTTTAAAACGATCCCTTTATTGTTTGAGCCTGCTCGGTTCATGTTTAATGATTCGTTCTATTTAATTCAACGATGCCCGCTCTCGAGTCGAAGGGTGATGCGAGACTACAGAGAATAAAAATTCTTGCGTTGGAGAATAAAATAAAATACGTTGGAGAAATCTTTAATTTCGGGATGTGAAATTTATATGAAAGAAGGGGAGGGGGAGAGAGAGAGAGAAAGAGGGAGAGAGACGGGGTATGAATTTCGATGGGGCGAATTTCTGTAAAACTGCGCTCAACTTGGCGCAAGTGAAACCGTTCTATCCTTTTCGTTACAACATTTCTATCTTCTCCATCCCGCGCCCGCGTGTGTTTTCGTATTAAAATGCAGATCGACATTCCCTATGCTCCGAACAACCGCATTTTTCTGCGCGGAATTTTCTCGAAAATGGTTTGGTAATTCGCGCGTACGCCAAAGTGCGAGCACTTTCAAATTTTCCCATTACAATGCAGATCAATCGCGTTCTAGCTGGCTTCCATAGCCCCTCTGACCACCTCTGGAAACCGATTTTTACAGGATTGTCGAAATTTCAATGCATACCGACTCACCCCCTCCCATATCACTATGGAGGCTCGGTAATTTCCTTCGATTTGTCGCGGGAAGAATGGTCGTTGTTGGAGCAAACAATCGGTCAATCTCGACAACGATTTCAAGTTGTTATAACGGAAAAAATCGTAGAATCTCTCGTTGACGGCCGATTTTCCGCAAAAATTCAACGCAATTTTTTCCATTATTATATACATTCGTACGGTTTCTTTTGTCCCACGTTCTTTTTTAAATTCTGTTAAACAAATTATATACGTAAAAGATGATCAAAAAATGTATGCTTCGAATATTTCAACGTATCTTTAAAAATGAAAAAAAAAAAA